AACCTCCATTCACCCCCCTCTGACTGTCCTGGGGATCATAGGGGGATGCCAGGACCATACACACAGGGCACGTTAAACAAGATTGCAGGCTCTGCCAGGTACAGGACAGAGGGTAGGACAGTTCATCTACACTGGGCTCCTAATCTAATTTACCCTCATTGGAGTTTCCTTCAGCCCCAATAATGTTTCTTAAAAGGGAGGTTAAACCAGCCCAGGGGAAACCCGAGCTGCCGAGTTTTTGCTGTGTGCTTCCAGTTGAAAGGAGGCCACTGTCCACACACAAAGGAGGGGGCTCTGCGGAGCACTGCCCAGCGACCCGCCCCCAGGATGCTTCCACACAAGTGTAAACACACGCGTCTGTCCCGTTCATGCCACTGGGTCACCAAATGGAGAGGAACAGGGGGTCACTTCAATTGCACTTTAATTTCAGCTCGGGAACATTCTCTGAGCAAAGCTGAAAGCTCACTCACACCACAGGGCACACTGGCCTCCGTCTGGGAGGGTGGAAAAGAGAGGTTTAGGCAGCCAAGGACTTGAGCGTGCTTCTGCCACAATCCTGTTCTAGCTCCTCAGGCTCCTTGCGCTTCAGTTTCCTTATCAGTAAATTCAGTTGGCAATACATTTATCCCAGGATGAGGTGGAAAGCAATGGCCATAGGTACACAGTAAATTCTGACTCATTTTTCACTTCTACACATTCCCATAGCCCCACACTGACAGCCTGCAGGCCAAAGCTGGCCCACAGACATAGCTTTGCTACAATATTGTGTGTCCTGTATTTTAAGTAGCCACAACGAAATATTTTCCTAAAACTGCAGTTTCCGTTTATCTTGCAAAACTGCAATGCTAACAGCGTGCCTTTGGTCATGTGACTGCTAGTGTTGCTTGTTTAGACAGGGCGGACGTTACCCAGCTCGTCAGCTTCCTGACACAGCTGTGCGTGTTCCCTGATAACCTGCCAAATCTGCTAGCAGTCACAAAGGGGTCCACTCAAACCACCATCTCTTTTTCCCGCATCACATGTTCCTTTGGTACCCAGTCCAATACTCAAGATAAACATGCTGTTGGGCTAACTCTACTCATGATGTAGCAAGAGATTGAATGTGAAACTGAAAGTCCAGTCAACCAGTTACATGAAACCAAGTGATGGAGGAGGGAGGTCAAAGAGACACATGCCCAACCCAACCCATGATAGATTGACTATATTCAATTAGGTTCATTTGTTTTGCTTGGTGAAAATAGTTCATAGGAATAAATGAAGTATAAATCATGCACTTTAATCCTATTACTGTTAATTGCTGTTTAAATGTATTTCTTTATTCTAAGATAATTTGAGCCAGCTTACACTTACAATCAAATATTAAATTAAATTAATTGTCAAATAAATAGATAATGAGAACAAACTGTTAAGAGAGCAGGGAGAAACAAGCACTCTCATATTGCCGATTCAATATGAGTACAAAACGGTACAACCCCTACAAGGGGGGATTTGGGAATATCTAATAAAATTCTAGATGAATTTACCATTTAGATCCCCCAAAACCCACTTCTAGGAATACATCTTAAAGATACGTCTGCATAAGTGAAAAATAACATATGCATAAGTGCATTAGTTACCTCTTGCTGCATCACACATATGGGCCTGTGGGGTTTACTGACACTCATCATTTCTAGGGAAACAGGAATTGTCGGTCATCCTAGTAACAAATTGCCCTACAATTTAGCAGTTTAAAGCAATATACTTTAATTCACAGTTTCTGTGAGTCAGGAACCCAGAAATGGCTTAGCTGAACCTCGCTCCAGTCTCCCACAAGACTGCAGCCGAAGTGTCAGACAGGGTGGGGGTCCCATCTGAGGCTTAATAGGAGAGGATCTGCTTCCAAACTCACTTACCTGGTTATTGGCAGAATTGTGTTCCTTGGGCGATTGGAATGAAAGCTCTGCTGGCTGTGGGCTGGAGGCTGTACTTAGTTCCTTGCCATATGGCCCTCCCTAACATGGCAGCTGGCTTAATCAAAGCCAACACAAAAAAGAGAATTTCCTAGGAAGACAGAACTCACAATTTTGGTAACCTTATCACAGACATGACATCCTTCAACATTGCCTTATTCTATTGGTCAGAAGCTAGTTAATATTGCCACACTCTATTGGTTAGAAGGTGGAGCTTACACAATGCCAGGTGGGAGAAATCATCTGGGTCCAACACAGAATCAGATCCCCGGCCTAGGCATATCAGACACACCTGTGTTCCATTTCAAATCTGATCTTCCAGGTCTTCTCCTATCTACTGCCGAAGCAGAACCCCAGGTTGTGATCAGCTTTACACAGGTGCAACTGACAGGGCTTTGCTTCAAGCCTGTGATGATGGCTAATGTAGATGATAGTATTCTGAGGAGTAACATAGATGGACAAGAGTGGAGTGTTTCTTGACTTTTATTTTTTAAACAAAAACAAAACAATAATAAAAAAAATAAAAAAACAGAGCTAGAGGGCAGAACGCTGAAGTCAGATGCTACAATGGAAAAATCATGGCCTTCACCTGAGTTCCTAGACTCAAAACTCACTGATTGAAGGGGAGGCTGAGTTTCCTTAAAGAAGACCCCTGCAAGTCCATTACAAGTATATCTAACAAGCATTCCCACAGTCCTTCCCCAAATAACCTACAGCCACTTACCAGAATAACTGTGTATTGGGAAAAGGAGAATAGAGAGATGTTTCAAGAAATGGTGCATGTGGGTTCTAAACCTTAAACACTACCAAGATATTAAAAATGTCATATACTACGGTTCTCTGGTTAGAAAAGTGTGGAGGATGGGAAATGAAATTTTGGCCCAAGTCCACCTTATGGTGGGACTAATAGTTATTTCTCCACTAACTGAGTTTATAATTGGGATACATAAACTTAGAAGATGGAAATCCCTTACACTTGTCCCCTGAATGCTGAAGTTAGAGCCTTTATGTTAAGAAGGCCTAAGTGGAAGGCCATTGTGATTTTTTTTAGCTCTAACAGCTTTGGGTGATAGGTACATGCAAAGCAAAATCAGATACCACCCATTTTCTTCCTGGGCATTTAAGGTGAGACTAAAAGTCCTAAAGCCAGTGTGTGCCCAGTGAGTGTGATTTTGAGGCACCCTGGGTAGATTTCTGGACTCCTGAGTTTGACCTCCACCCACTAGTCCAGTGGTTCTTAACCTTGGCTGCACATTAGAATCACCTGGGAATCTTTTTAAAATCCTGATTTCTGGGCCTCATCCTCCGGAAATTCTGTTTCTTTGTTATGGGGTGGGGCCACAACATTAGTAACAAAGAAAGAATTTCCGGAGGATGAGGCCCAGAAATCAGGATTTTAAAAAAGATTCCCAGGTGATTCTATTGTGCAGCCAAGGTTGAGAACCACTGCATTAACAGGAGGTCAGTTATATATCCTCTATAGAGGTTCTACGTAACCTCATCTAGACACTCCCAATCAAAGTAGTTATAGGCCACAGCTGGTCTACTCTGAAGGCTGTGGGGGCAGGACTAGAGGTCACCTCTGAAAGTCCTACATCACTAGATCAGCCCACATTGGGTGCCCATCACTAACTTCTCCCCAGTGACAGCTCAGGTATAGGGAGGAGAGCCAACCTGGCCAGGTGTGGGAGCTAACCTGGCTTAAAATCCTCACTTCCCAAAGGAGCCAATAACAACTCCCAAGTAGCTTGCTTGGCCCTCAAGGAGCACCTCTTACAACAGTCACCACACTCAGGGAAGCCCAAAGTACGGTGTCCTTAACAAAGCACGACTCTATATAGTTCCTCCCCTTCCTGATGCAATTTACCAATCAGGGGTCATTTGTATGAGAACCAATGTGGCCTGGAAATACAGCTTGTAACCTACCCTTAAGAGGTTGCCAGTAACAGAGCTATACGCCTAACCTAAAGTCAAGTTCTCATTCAGAAGGAAAACTTTGTTTACCCTTTACCCACCCATCGTTATATGCAAGAACCTACAGATTCTGTTCTTCTTTAGGAAGAAGCTACTGTTCCTATGTCTTTGGGGGAGCCACGTGGAAAGATATGGGTGAAAGGAGAGGAATTCCAGAGCCAGCTCTGCCTCCTCCCTTGTTTTCTAGAGCAATCCCTGCTTGAAGCATGAGGCTGACATGTTTATTTGTTTTTTGGTTTGTTTGTTTGTTTGTTCGTTTGTGAGAGGGAGGCTACTATTGCAACAACCCAGCCAAATCTTAGGGCTTCACCTGCCAGCCAGAGACTGGGTGCTGGGGACTAGGAAAGCAGAATGTAAATGTCACCACTCTCTACTGTGCCCTTCATGTCAGAGGCAGGGCAGTCCTACCCAGGGTCCAGAAAACCTAGTGAATAATCAGAAGCAGTTCTCCTTAACCCCTGGGAGCTCGCTGCCTCCCAGGTGGGCCTGCATGCTGGACAGGGTCCCGAGTCGGCAGGACCTCTCACCTTTCCTCTCTCAGCCCCTGAGCCCATAGGCTCTTTCAACTCTGTCCTTCCATGGTGCACCCTCTCTCTCCCTCTCCCAGATCTGTCCCTGGGCTCCATTCCATGTGCCCTGGTTTGGAGCTAGAGCAGTGGTTCTCAACCTTCTGGCCCTTTAAATACAGTTTCTCATGTTGTGACCCAACCATAAAATTATTTTCGTTGCTACTTCATAACTGTTGCTACTGTTATGAATCGTAATGTAAATATCTGACATGCAGGATGGTCTTAGGCGACCCCTGTGAACGGGTCATTCGACCGCCAAAGGGGTCACGACCCACAGGTTGAGAACCACTGAGCTAGAGAGAGTTTAGGGTCTATATGGATAAAGGGCAGAGTGAAAGTCAAGCATTTATTCCCACAATAATGAAATCCTTTTCCTCCAGAGACTGATGCCTCAGTAAAAATCTCTGGCTCTATTTTGCTAAAAGGATCTCGGACTCTTTCCTCCCCCTTGAGTTACATGAAGAACGGGTGCGGGGATGGAACGCATACTGCACCTAAATACCCCCAGTTTCAAAGAAACCTGCCTTGTTTACTCCTCCCAAGAACAGAACATCCATGGAAAGAGGTGTGCCTGAAAGACCTCCCCTCCCCCACGGCTGAGCAGCAGGCACCTCTTCCCAGAGGCCTGCGTTTCCACCTTCAGGGCTCCGCCCCGCCCTCCTCGTGGCCAGAATCTCCCTTTGCAGCCTGCCAACCGGCACCAGCCCAGCAGAGGAAACGCGGTTCTTTCCTCCGGCAGCAAGTCCCACACGCATCTTTAGTGAGTCTTGTGGGGCTTTGGTCAGCTGTCCAGAAAGCCACGAGCAGGCTCTGGGAGGAGATAGGCGAGCTGGCATCTGTGGGCCGAGGAGAGGTGTGCGGCGACTCCTTAATGAACTTGTTGGAGGGGAGATGAAATGGGGGGCCACGTCCGAGGAGACAGGAGAGCTGGGGAGAGAGAGCAGATGCGGTAAAAGATACCCTTTCATGTTTCCTGTGCACTAGGACTCTGCAGATGTATGCTGGCAGGGCTACAGTCAGACAACGGGAGGCTGGAGTTGACACATCTGGAAGTCATTTGCAGGGGGCAGAGTTCAAACGCTTTCTGCTTCAGCTGCTTTCAGGCATACCTTGCCCTGCAGGCCATTGCTGAGGGAGGGAGGGGCCGACCATTCTGCCCCTGGGGCCTCACTCCCGGGAAAGCCCTACCCAAGCCCCTGGGTTTTCCTCTGTATCGGTTCAGTCACGTGGAAAAGTCGAAATAATTATTTTTTTAAAAAAGGACGGGGAGGAGGGGTGCAAAAAGGGAAATGTGCCACAACTGAGAGAAGCCTGGCTGGAAATCAAGAAACAAAATGTACTTGGACCCAGTCCAGTGCATGAGTTAACTTGAGAGCAGAGAACAGCATTCAGGGGAGGGAAGAAAAGGCTTTCTCTGTGCAGAGTAACACCCAGGGATCACGCTCACACCACATTCCCTTTTCTCAGAAATCCTTGTACATTTTGCCTTCACTGATTTCAGGAATGCAAGAGGCTCTTGATCCAGAGGGAATTGCTCCCGATGAATGGATTTATGGGCTTCTGCAGAGAGAGGGCAGTGTCTCTGAGGGCTGGTCATCACCCGCACTGACCCACAGCCTCCTGCTGCCGCTAGGAGACGGGTCCTCCCTCCAGAGGGGGCAAGGTCGCCTCGGGTGTTCAGCTTCCTTCAGGGGAGAAACACATCTTTGGGGTGAAATTGTGTCCTGGCTCAAAGCTCCTGCCATGCTCAGCTGTGCAGCCCAGATTGGCTGCAGCTGCCAGCAGGCTGAGCTGAGCATGGGCTTCGCTACTTGCGTGTGGCGAGGGGAGCATGCAAGGAGCGGAAATGAGTTAAAGGCGCCGGGGCACACCCAGGTGGGATGATGTGGCCCAGGACCCCAGAAAGATCAGAGTCCACCTGGGGAGAGAACAGAGCACATGAAGAGATGAGTAACAAAATACAACTAGATGTAATAGATGCCACATGTGAAATAAAACACATTCAGACAGACGTGCTCCTAATCCCCATCCCAAAACCTGCTTACCTTCCTGTCCCCTCTACCTTGAAGCATGTCTCTGCCATCCCTGACATTGCCCAAACCTGAAATGTTTATTTCTCTCCCTCTGTCACCCCACATTTCCCATTTGGCCCCAGGCCCTGGTGATTTTATGCCCTTAGCATCTCTTGAATGTATCTAACTCCCCATCCCACCCACCTCAGCATCTCCTGCCTGAATCACTGTAGTACCTTTGAATTGGACTTGTTGCATGAACCCATCCTCTGAGTTATCTTTATGAAATTTAATGCTGAGCATTTCACTTCTCTAAATGATCCAATGACTCCCTACAACTCTCAGCATGAAGCTCAGGCTCCTGAGCATGACATACAAAATGTATATGATCTGGTTTTTGTCTTCTTCCTGAACCTCATCTTCCACATTGTGCTGGTAAATGTTGAACCACCCAACCTCCAGATGCACCGTGTGCTATCTTATACCACAATTCCCCCTCAAACAACAATGAACTTCTCCCAGTTTCCTGGCCCTGCCCTCATCTCTCCCTCACCCTTGGCTTCTGTTTAATCTTTCTCTCTCTGCCCAAAAAAGAGATTCTTTCCACCTCCCACTTACCTAGTACTCCTTTAAGACATAGCTCCTCCAAGAAGTTACCCTGTAACCAACAGTGAACTGTCTGTCGAGGCCACCAGAATGCTGCACTGTCATTGTGCGCTGGTGGGGCCTGCTGCTCTAGCCAGGCACCATGAAGAACAAGCACTATTTTTTTCAATTAGACTTGGCATTTAGTATTATTTATAACAGCTTCAGGTGTACAGCATAGATGTTAGACATTTATATAATTTACAAAGTGATCCCCCTGATAAGTACGGTACCTACCTAGCACCGTACATAGCTATTCTAAGTGCCCATCAGTAAACAAGTGGATAAAAAACCTGTGGCACATATACTAGTACACAATGGAATATTACTTGGCCATAAAAAAGAATGAAATCTTACCATATGCAATGACATGGATGGACCTAGAGGGTACTATGTTAAGTGAAATAAGTCAGTAAGAGAAGTTAGACATTTATATAATTTACAAAGTGATCCCCCTGATAAGTACGGTACCTACCTAGCACCGTACATAGCTATTCTAAGTGCCCATCAGTAAACAAGTGGATAAAAAACCTGTGGTACATATACTAGTACACAATGGAACATTACTTGACCATAAAAAAGAATGAAATCTTACCATATGCAATGACATGGATGGACCTAGAGGGTACTATGTTAAGTGAAATAAGTCAGTAAGAGAAAAATACCATATGATTTCACTTATATGTGGACTCTAAAGATCAAAATAGACAAATGAACAAGCACTATTTTTGTCTTTGTACCCAAGCTGCCTTAAATGTTCAGTAATCACTGAATTAAAGAGTACAACTAGTGCTGGGTTTTAATTGACTACCCTCTTCTAAAAAGTTATATGTACCCTTTTGTAAAAAAATTCAAGGTTGTGAATGAATGCTATAGGTTTTCCACAGACATCTAGCTCTGGGAAGAACAAAAGTCAGAGAAGCCAGTGAAGGCTTCTTGGAGTATAGTTTCCAGATTTAGCAAATTAGAGTACAAGATGCCCAGTTAAATTTAAATTTTAGATAAACAATAAATATTTTAGTATAAATGTCCCATGCAATATTCCAAATATACAGTAAAAAGTATTCATTTATCTGAAATTTATATTTAATAAGGCATTCTGTATTTTATCTGGCAACCCTATATTTGATGAGTCTGCATTTGAGCAAGAACTTGAATGAGTCAGATTTAGAGAGGACAAAAAGAAGAGGGTCTGGGTCTTGTCAAAGAAGACTGGTTGAGTGGGGGAGAGGGGCAATAAATACACAGCAGAGAATGGAAACTTTCAAGGAACTTTCAGTTGGTCTGATTAGAGCATAGGTTTGTGCCCACAGAGGTGGAGAGGCTGAAAAAGTGAAAAATATTGAAATAAAACTTGAGATCATCAGAGAGGAGACCATCGCAATTATCCACACACTAGAGGCCCAGTGCATGAAATTCAGGCACTGGGAGGGGGAGTGTCCCTCAGCCCAACCTGCACCCTCTCAAATCTGGGACCCCTTGGGGGATGTCTGACTGCCGGTTTAGGCCCAATTCCTGTGGGATCAGACCTAAACCAGCAGTCAGACATCCTTCTCACAATCCGGGACTGCTGGCTCCCAACCGCTCGCCTGCCTGCCT